CGAAGTCTGTGTTCTAAGATGGAGATAAAAAAGTTGAAAGTATCCTCTGTTTCACGAAAGGAACCGTACGGAGGAATAGCTGAACATCGTAACGCGTGTTTCGTAGACAGGGTGCACTACTTTGGAGCTGAACGATGTAAGTGCATCTCATAGCAGGAAAATGCGATAAAGAAGTTTAAAAGATGACTCTACGACCATTAAGTATATTCTCATGAGAGTATTATTTAAAATAAATATTATGTTGAAAATCAGCTTATAGAGCCAATAATAACCCTTTTTAAGATATTCTAATTGTTGTCTTAAATCACAAGATAATGTAAAAAGTTCAAATGAAAATTCTCTATGAATGCCAAGACAATTCTAATATTAAAATACAACTAATTTGGAAAGACTATTTTTTTATTTTTCATTCAGCAGAACGCTGTTTCTCATTTTTTAACGCTGAAATACTCTCTAACTTACCAAGCAACACTTCCCACACTAGTGTTCTGCTTAACGAGCTAGAAGATGCATCTGACTTTGGACGTAATGAGTTCGCATGTACTACAACTACTACCCATGAATGATGCGAGTCAACTTCGAGGAGAAAACCACAGACAAGTTTCAACCTAAATAATTCGAATGCCAGAGACAGCCTCGAAGTTTCCACATGGATAACGCAGTTCTCAAGATATGCAGAAACAGCTCCACGTTCGCAGTTGGAGCTCAGAGTTCGCGCCTCGGAATGCTTTTGCTTTTCCTCTGCGCAACAAACTTTGGCGCACCAGGACAAGACTTTCGTCTTAGGTGGTAGTAATTTATTTACACACATTCCACGCACGAAAAACACGGGGAGCTCTGCATCACAACACTGAAGAATTTAAAGGAGGTTTCGGAACGATTGATGAAAACATTGCAATACTTCTGAATTAGGCATTAATGTTAGGAAAAATTAAAATGTGTGTGCGGTGTTGAACTAGTTACGAATACAAATCACTTATGAAGATAATTAACCGGAACTTTTCCAAGTAGATCTCCGATCTACTGTATATTTTGATGTTCTTCTGTTTCTAATGTGAAATCTGCTTGCAGAATATGAAAACTTGTATTAGATTTCTAAAAAGCAGACTAGATATTTGTGTTGAAAGGATATGGAGAGCAACATCATATTTTGACTATGACACGAATGTTTTGCAATGACACGTTTCTTTGAGTTTTTCAAATGAATCAATTTCATTTAGACCTAGAACATCTATTTAGACCACCTAACTATGACCTTTCTTCGTTGAAAAATTGCACGAACATTTTAAATAGTTTTGCATGTCTGTCAAGTATATAATTAAATTTTTATAATATATAATAAGTATTAATAAAAAAAATTATATTACGAAAACGGGTTCTTGTTCTTGATTTCTATAAACTTAGACTTTCCTTCACAAATCCAATTGCACACGAAACTAGCCTCATCACTTTCGTTGTGTGCATAGAAGAAGCCAATAGATGAGGGTAAGTGAGCAGGGACGGAGGAGCGGGGCAGTGGAGGTGGAGGCGAGGCGGGGTTGACGGGTTGCAGAATTGAGTGAGATCAATCGGTAGGGGGAGTGAGGGTGGGAGGTGAAAAGAAAATTACTTTCATTGCACACTGTAGATATAATTCATGCCTTCTCCCATCTCTTAAGGAATTGAACTCTGAAAACGTTGGATTACTGTAGTCATTGATAAAATATTTGAATGTTCCTCTTTTCCCTTTCCCCCTCTCTCCCTTTCCTTAAACAGCAGGCCAATGCTCTTCACTAACACTGCTTTGTCTAAGCCAGGACGCAGACACTGCAGAATTGTTGTGTCGTTATGTTCATATTTGTTGATTTTGTGTTTACTCTTCAAAATTCAAGTAAAATTATATCAGTTTCTACTTTACCTACATTCTCTTTGAAAAAAAAAGAAGATATTGTAGAAACTTTTCGTTTTATTGCAGCAACAAATGCTGAGGAAAAGCTTTATGGGGAAATAAATTATTACAAGTCGATCCGGATTGTCAAGATCGCTAAGGCAGGAGTGTCGTGGCGATCTCGGATCGAAGGATCGCGGGTTTAAATCCCTCCTCAGGCATGGATCTATTGTGATCATCCCTTCACCCTTCTTCATCATCATCCTATCACTTCATTAGATGATACAAAATTACCTGTGAGCAGGAGGCCCTTGCCCGGAGCTGGGCGGAGCGGGGCGGAGCGGGGCGGAGCGGGGCGGAGCGGGGCGGAGCGGGGCGGAGCGGGGCGAGCGGGCGAAGCGGGCGAGCGGGCGAGAGCGGGGCGGAGCGGGCGAGCGGGGCGGAGCGGGCCGGAGCGGGGCGGAGCGAGGGCGGAAAGCGGGGCGGCGGAGTGGAGCGCCACTTAATCTCCGCGGGCGAGGAAGCTGTGCGCCGCGGCGGCGATCGGCAGGGCGCCGGCCTTATCGACCTGCCGGGGCGGCGCGGCGCGCTGGCGGCAATGGAGGCGAGGGGGCTTAGCGTCGCCACCCACTACCTTTGTGCTGACGCGAGAGCTCTTCCACTGTTCTCGAACCTCCTACATATCTCCGTTGTTGTGGAGGGTGATATATGTTCATGTTGTCCATACTGTATTGGGGCAAAAAAACGAATGTTCAAATGCACGGAGAAAACGTTTCGCATTTAAACACTTGAAGTAGTATGCCTTCTTAATTTTCGCATTTAATTTATTCATTTTTATCTTAGCCCACTAACCTAATTAATCCAGATCTTTGAGCAATCCTCACAGAACATTAATTTCGAACAGAAGAAATATTTTTGTACTTGAGAGAATTAAGTTACCTCAATTTGTTTGTACTTAAACATTTCTAATTGTGGTGCTCATATCAATTCTGGAAGAATTCCAACTAATCTGTCTACTATTATAATGAACAAAGTAAATTATAAGAAGTGTTCTTCTCAGATCTCTAACAAATATTTAATGGATACTCTTAGTGATACTTTTAGTATCATTCGAAAAGCAAATATGTCGACTAACAGTTCAGGCTTACCAAAAAAATATTTCTAATATTTCTCGTCAAACAGTGAGTAAAAAAACGATCCGTGTTTAAAACAACAATTAAATATTGCATCTACACCTTGTGTATAGAAACTCTTCAAAAACAAAACCGCTCTCGGGTCAGAGATAATAGCCCAGAGTATATACGCCAACCGACAGTTCGGTTCAAAATCCGATGTAGTAAAAACACGTCCATGTCATCCGTTCATTTTTATATTCTGGTCGCTTTATACCACAGCCAATAGTAATATAGAAGTATACGGCTTGGTGGTTGTTCATCAACGAAAAAGCTGCCTAATGTAGCTTCATGTAACGAAAAAGCTGTCTAATGTGCTTCATGTAACGCATCAAAAAATTTGAATATCCAGGTAGCCTTCTTAAAGGTTCATTTGCATGTAGGTCTACTGATAGCCTTCACGTGCTTCAGTGCGCCATCACGACCGCTGCCAAAGCGCGGACCGGCGAATATGCCCCCTGAAGAACCCACTCGTTAACACGACTCCCACAGCACTCCCGCCGAAATCTCCTGCTGCGCGCCGCCCCTCCGTCGCCATCGCCCGCGTCACCGCCTCCGCCACCGCGTGCAAACTCGGTCACAAGAATGAACGGGCAGGCCAGCCGCGGTCCCGCCTCCGCCGCCGCGCCGCGCTTCCCGCCTGGGCGGGAGTACTACGCGTGACGTAGCGCCGGCGCGCCGGGCCTGGACGTCACGCAGGTAGCGCGAGGCGCGCGGCGCGGCGGCGGCGCGGCCGCCGGATCTCCCGCCGGCGCGGAGCCCCGCAGTCGAGAAGCAGCGCCGGCGCGAGGCGGCCGACCCGGGCAGCGCGCACGCCACACGAGCGCAGCCGAAGCTCCACGGACGACGCGAACCTCGCTCTCGCCCCGCCGCCGCCGCCCATCGCCCTCCGCGCGCGCGCGCGGCAACCGCCGCCGCCGCCGCCCCGCCCCGCCCCGCCCGACCGGGCCCGCCCACAGACGTGTGTGGTCCGATCCCCGGCCGCCTGTGTGGTCGATAGTGTCTGCGCCGGGTGTGTGGTCCGCGCCGCACCGCACCACGTCGCGGCAGCGCCAGCGAGCGACGGGCATCCCCCAAGGCAGCGAACTCTAAGCCTTTAACTGGGCCTACGTGTGCGTCTCCGTTGGTTAAGTGCCACCGACCTCCGACGTGTGTTTTCTATTTGTGGATTAAACCTAGTGGGCGTACAATTCACCTCGTGCGTTCTGGATTATTGTGCAACGGAACCTCGCCAGCCGTCCACCACCACCAGAGCATTCCTCGTAAGTGTACACCTGAGGCAGCGAACCCGGTACCCCCCAACTGTCCTCAACCGTGAATTGTTTCTCAGTGCCGGGCAGGCGTGTGGTCGTGTGGTTCCACGTGAAAGCCACCACAGTGCCGAACAGGTCTTCGCGAGTGTCCGAGTGTTTGTGAGTGTGCATGCTAAACTCGCCGGCGTGCACGGCCGGTGTGTGTCCGTCCACCGCCGCCCCCCTCCCCACTTGCAGTAGACGGGCCGTGACATTGCGCCCAGTTCACCGGCTTCACCCGCGGGGATTGGGTTCGTGCATGTGGAAAGCCGAGCTGGAAGGTCAAGTTTAATTTCTTGATTGTGATCGGATCGTGGCGGAGCGGTAGCCGCCGCCGCCGCCGCAGACGTTGGCCCGCTACAGCGCCGACGGGCAACAGCGGCCGCGCCAGCGGTAGCAACAGCAGCAGCGGCAGCAACACGTGTTCGCCCCGCGCAACTGGTCTGGCTCACGAGCGCGCGCGCGCGCGCGAGATAGAGTCAGCGAACGGGTCGGCGCGGACCGGACGCGTCCACGTGTGTGCGACGCACCACGCACGTGCTCGCGGTGAGTGTCAGTGCGACGCAAGTGGCAAAGATTTCTGCGCGAGCCAGTGACTCCCGAATACGGTTCTTGTGCAAAACGACAGTGAAAGAAAATCCTAAAATTATTCGTATGTTAGGTATTTACGAATTCCCAACAGTTTCTCAATAATCAGAAATTTAAAGAAAAAAAATATTTCGTAACAATCACAACATTTCTCAGAAGCTCGCGGAAACAAGAGTTTAGTATCAACAAATGAGTGAATAATTGTGCTTCTAACTCAAGAAAAGTTCTCGTAAACAAATTTTCGTCATTAAAATTTCAAGAACCTCCCATCAGAAAAATCTTACCAGCTAGAAAACCCGCTCCAAAGATTAGTGCATCATAGTCAATCGGCGAACCCGTAGAAACGGAGCACCCGTATCGAACCGACCCGCACCGGAAGCCGTTGGCGCCGCCACCCGGAAGTGCGTCCCGCCCGTCGCCAACCGCCCCCGCGTCCACACCCCGTCCGGGAACCGGTCCCCCCGCGCTCGCCGAGTAACGTTCGCCTTAATGGACGCGAGCTTCCGGGCGGGTGCGAAGGGAGCTTATCGCGATGCGCGCCGGGCCCTGCCGGCAGGAAGGGAAGCAGCAGCAGAAGAAGAAGAAGTGTGTGCGTGCCGTGCGTGGTCGTGTGTCGCCGCAGTGCGTCGCCGCTCTACCGCGCGACAGCGCTATTCCATTAAGCGTGCAGCGGAAGTGAAAACTCGCGCTATAAAGTCCGGGATTTAAGGAAACTCCTCCGCCCCCCTCACTCCTCTTCACGATCTCCCGGTTACCGTCCTCCGCGCCTTTGGGGAGAAGACAACGGGACACCGCGTAAAGCTGATTAAATCAAAGTTTATTATCGTATATAATCTCCGTCGCCGCTGTAAGTGAAAACGTCTCGCTTCACTACTTCCTTGCCAGTACGCGGTCGCTGCCGTCTTGTTTCTCCTGTCGGCTGTTTCGTAGTAGTCTTTTCTTTTTTCCTCCCCGCGCACGAGGGGGCGAGGAGAGCGTTGTGTTTTGTCTGGCGGCTGTTGAAAGGTCACTCCCTCGCCGAAAACGATTACCAATTATTTTCTCCTTTCTCCGCTCGTCTTATTTCGCGACGCGTCGATTTTCCTTTCGTCGACAACCCGCGACGATAGGTCAGCGGGGAATTTAACGGTGAACCGGGTGACTCCGCCTCTCGAAGTGATGCGTGTACCCGTTTTTGAAGAGAAAACTCAAGTTTCCTGTGTGCGGTTCATTTAAATACTGGTCGGCTCAGAGAGGGGGGGAAGAGACGTTGGTGAAACTATCGCCGGAGAGCGCGTGGTGGTTAACACGTGCCGCGTGGTGTACGACAAGGCAATCGCGTCGCGAAATTGCGCTCCTCTCCGCGGCGGCCGGGAGGGCCTCTCCGTGTGTCGCGAGTGCGCGTGTGCGGGAGGTGTGCGCTGATTGGACTGCAGATACGCATGCGAGCGTCGCCGCCTGCAGCTGGGAGCCGGCTGGCGATGGATACGCTCGTCACGTAGGGGCCACGGCGGGCGCAGCATTTTGTGGACTCCCCTGTGGCAGTAACACCACAACCCTGAAGAAGTTCATGGTGAGTACCTGCTTTACTATGTCATCAATGGCTCCGAAAAAAAGTAGACATCGCGGAATGCGTGTTAAAAAAGTAAAAGAAAAAAATTGAACCTATATTCTTCAAATCAATTGTTTGAGTTTCAATTTAAATTTACCTCAAAGTATGACATCACCACCAAATAGTTCAATGAATAGAAGAGACATTTTCTGACGTTACAACTGCATCTAGATAATGCTACATCACAATTATTAAGAGAGTTCTGTTGTTACGCTAATAGTGAGGGGTCGATTCATATTTCACGTTTGTTTGTTTGTGCTGAACGTTCATTGAACTACTGCATAACCACTTTATAGTAGGCGCCGAACCCAAGTAGTCCGATTGGTTATATTGAGAGTCCGCGTCCTCTCGTAAATAGTCATCTACATACACGCGTACCAGCAGCGAGACGTGGTCAGAGGAAAACATGGATGCTCGAATACTCAAGTGTGTTTACGTCGTACTTATGCATACGCAAGCGACGACTTAAAAAGCTGAGAACCGAAAGAAAAAAGAGAGAAAGCCTCCTGCCAATTTCAAGAAGTAAAATGTGTTTATTGGAAACATGGAATAGAATACATTTTCTGCAGAGTTTTAAAAATGTTCCTACGTGCGAAATACGCAAGATAAGACGATTTTACTTTCGCCTTGTTTGTGAGAACATTAAAAATAAGGGGGATATTTTGTGGCTCATAATGGTATAATTTAGTTAAAGTTAGTAAATAAGTTTTAAAGGTTAGGTTCTATAAATCAAAAGCCTACACTGATGATACATTTTTTTTAATTTTTATTTTATCATTGCACCAGTTGATGTAGGACAATAATTTTTTATCAGCCATTGTCTATTGGGTCATGTTATTTTAAAATAATGTATGCTCATATAGTGATAAAATCGTATTTATGACGCATGACTTAATTTACCTAGTAAAGGCATAGTCGAGTAGTCAAAGTGGAAATTGAAATGCATTTATAGGATTGATAATCACAATAGAATACATCGTACATTTGATAATAAGAGTGACATTTACTCATTAAGTAACGCAAATACATAATTTTTATTTTTGAATAAATAGAGAAGAAATGTGACCCTATATTTTCAGCAAAACCTGCGATTCATAATTTGTTAACAGCCGAGACTACCATATTTGTTACACATTAACACCAAGGATGAATCTCAATTCCCAACATTGTTTAAAAAATTAACTTTTATATTTCATATAACTTGTTTAATGTGTGTCCTCGATTAAGTACGATTTTTGCCACCAATAATTGAAGTATTTTAAAATTCTCTCAATTTAAGTACGTCTCATGCATTTCTATCCAAACAAAGCACTGAAATATGAAGAATATGTATCTTCAAAACTAGTAATAAAACAAATTAAACTGGTTTCACTCTGAACATATACAACGCGTGTGCGAGCGGCGACTTCGACTGTTGCAGCAGCACAGACAGTGCTATTGGCAGTCGCATGTTACGAACAATGTTGTACTTAGCCTTGACGAGTGGATGTTTGAAATCAGAAAAACACTATTCCAACATTTACAGAATTATACTGAGAGTTGCAGGACCTGGCAACGTTTTATAAAGTTACCTGAAGGCTTGCCCTCTGTTTACCAGAAGTGGTTATTAGGGTGAAGGCAAGTACAATCGACTCCCATTGACAAGTATTATCGATTTTGTGACCTACAACTACTTATTAATGTTGTTTTTATGGATTTTCCCATCCAACATTAGTTACTCTTGACCTCAATAGGATGAGTTAAGAACTAGTAACTAGACAATAACGTACTGGCGTGCTCTTCAGCTTTGGAGTTAGCAGAAAGCGAGTCGTTTCACGACAAACACACACATTCGTAGCATAACGGACGCTCATTTATGTCCACAGCAGGATGCGAATGTACGACGTTTTGAGGTGTTGAATCAATAAGTGCTATAAACACCTCGGCCATCCAGGAAGACATATCTATTTATAGGATTTCTCAATACCCAAATATTTTCGTAACAATTTGGTTCATTAATTATTTTCTTTGGTTCTCTCACATAAAGAGAGTGTTTGTTTCAGCGGTTCACAAGAAATATGTCACATGTCAAAAATTATTGTTTTGCAAAAAAAGTATATTGCACACGTAAGCTTCCGCGGCTCAAATCCATACATTCTTGGCTATTCGAGAGACGCCGCGTCGTTGGCTGGGAGGCCGACGGTTTGCCTGACATGTCGCAGGCTTCCTCAGGGCAGTGACTGCCATGAGGAAGCCTGCGTCGTCACTGCCCTGAGGAAGCCTGCGATATGTCAGGCGAAACGTCGGCCTCTCAGCCAACGACGCGGCGACTCCTGGATAGCCAAGAATTTAAAGAACTTGATACCTGCACACGTAAGCTTATCCAGCTCGATTCCGTAAATTCTTGGCTGTCCGGGAGACGTTGCAGGCTTCCTCGGGGCAGAGACCTGTCGTCACTGAGCCAGTGAGTAGTCATCACTGCCTTGAGAAAGCCTGCGATATGTTAGGCGAAACGTCGGCCTCCCAGCCAACGACGCGGCATCCTCCCGATAGTCAAGAATTTAAAGAAGTATTTTATCCTGCGTTCCTTATTTACAACAGGATAAAGTGATTTACTCTATCATCTCAGACAAAGTGTTTGACTTCTTGCGTGCCATTTCCATGAAAATTTTACTCATATAAATATACTATTTTCAAAAAGTAGTACCTTAGCTCAAAAAATGATATATTTTTGTGTCGCTTCCCTTGGACACCGACGGGTTATCCGCCCTTACAATCAATCGTTCGCCCTGCGGTGCGTAGTCCACTGGCCGCGTCGGAAGCAGCGCCCAGCTGCGCGGGTGTCGCAGAGGGCGCAGAGACCCGTCCGCGTGGCCACGGCCCCCTGCGGGAGATTTCGCGACTACGTCACGCGCATCCCGGCGGCTGCGGCGCGACGCTGTGTGCGAAGGTAATGGAAGTATGTGCAAACACTGCGAAACAGCGCGGCTCTGCGCGAACGCCGCGACGCGGTCTGGCTGGGCGGCCGGGGCCGGGG